ATAAAAATGTATATAAATATATCAATTTTATATATAAATATATATAATTTTATATAATTTTGTATAATTATATATAATTATATATGAAACATTTTCTCCCGGATATATACTAAAAAGTTACATAATAAAAATTATACGTACTGTGATATAAATAAATATGTGATAAATAATTTTTTTTACTTACGTAGATACGCTGCAATGTACGCTATCATGAACGTAAAAATGAAGAATATTATCGACATTTTTCTATAAAGTAGCTCTAAAATCATATGAGAATGATCTTAACATATCTACTTAACATATCTACGAATAAAGTTTCACGCAAGCCGATCGAAGTTCTATATATTGTAAAATCTTTTTATTTTTAATATTTTCCTCTCAACTCTCACTCTTATTCAGATGCACGTGCGTAGAATGAAGTTTACTTTAATCCTTCTGTTTCATTCGCTTTCATATTTTATGATCACATGATAGAAAATGTAAGTGGGAGAACATTCCAAAAGAGAATTAATTTTCATTTTACAAGGGTACGATAAATTTAGAACTAGATAGTATTTATATTGAAAAAAATACTGGATAAGACGGTTTTTTAATTATACATAGGATTTGTTATTTGCATTAATTTCGTGACCTTTTCTTTCCTCTAGTCGTTCGTTCATTCTAAATTCGTAATCTTATTCCAAGATTTTCTGAAGTATTCACAATAATCGCAAATTTTATAACAATCGATAAAGAATAAAAATTAAGACTTCAGGGAAATTTGATTTAAAGTATTTATGTATTATTTCAAATAATGTAGAAAGCTTATATTTTGTAATACATTTATTTGATAAATAAAAATAAGAAACAATTTTCAATTTCTTTCCGTCGTAAATACTAATATAATACAAACAATATAAATTATAAGTTTATGGAAACTTAAATAAGAGAATGACTTCAAGTATTTTTTAGAATTATACTTATAAATGTAATAAAATATAATATCACAATCTTGATGATATTTCTTTGATAATTTTGTGACTATTACTATTATCAGATGACACAATTTAATACTTTTATTTAACTAACTGTTTTTTAATACAAATCTGTGCTATTGCACTAGCAATCTATTGATAACGACTAAATAATGTTTGCATTTATTATTCAACTCAAGTAAAATTTATGTCACTAATTTTTATAAATATTATTAATAATGGAAATATATTATATTTTATATATTTCTTATATTATATATCATTATAATTTTTTTATTTTTTTTTATTTTTTTTATCGGACGTATTATAGATGCATATAGTGACTCTTTGCGACAATAAATCTCACATTATGCTTCGTTGGGAAACAATTGTTCAAATCTGTTACGGACTACATTGTTAATAACTGTAATAACCAATTTGGAGACCGCCTCTTCCAGTGCTGGCTTAACTTTAATAAAAATATCCTTTTCGTTCTCATTTATAATATTAGTAAGAGCTTCATGTAGTTGAACCAAATCCTTCTCACTGTCATCAAACTTATATTTGAACATTTTAATATTAAGAACAGTTTTTACTTTTGACACATATATTTCCGTTTTACCGTTCTTAGTTTCCTCTTTAAAGTCTACAGTTATTTTCATTTCTAAGTTATCTGCGGAATAAACATAAAGTGATGATTTTTATGAAATAAAAACAAATTTTAAATTTTTTTATATTAAAGTAAATAGCTCTAAATAAATTGTTTTATTTTAATATAATATTGATCATTCTATATACCTGTAGAAACGTGAATCAATCCCTTATTAGCAAGTGGTACCAATATACGTATGTCGAAATCGTATACAGACTCCATATCAAGATGTTTGAGTATCAAATCTAAATCGAAGTGAAGCTTATCAGAAGATACTTGTAAAGAATTTATGATGAAATCACAGAATCCTCTTATTTTCGATTTTTTGACACTTAATTTAAGATTGTCTATGTTATAAATAACTATTTCGTCGATATTCATTGGTTCGATCGGAGCAACGTTAAGTTCCGGAATTCCCATGCAAATTTTACTCTTTATGTTATTGGTGTTGTTCACGATGCACTGATTATAATTGGGATTATTGCGACCACACACGTGAATGTAGGAAGCTACAAAGAGTTTTAATTTTATAAAAGTGTTTAATATAACATAGTAAGAAGAGAGAACAAACATTAAATTATTTAACTTACAATCTTATGATAAATTATCTAAGATGAAATAAGTTGAAATACAAGAATTATTTCAAAATAAAGATATATCTTTTGTAGTGCATTGAAATATATAAACAACTAAACGCAATTTGTCATTAAAGTCCACTTTAGATGATCTATAATTCGCGACCAAAAATTCAAAATAAAATTTTACTTATAATATCACACATTCTAAATATAAATATAATATATGGATATCCTAACATGTATTTTGATATTTTTACTAAATTAAATTTTACTTCTTCAAATATTTTCTATATTATACACAACACGTGGAATTATAAATAAAATTCTGTTCCAAGATTGATCGTGAATTATAAATCATCTAAAGTGGGCTTAATATTCCTAATAAATTATTTTGTAACATTTGAAAAAAATTGTAACTATTATATTTTATTATATATTTTTACTCCAGTTACCAGTGGCTTATTATGACTTATAAAAGATATAAGACTTTAAATTGATTTTTATTTCAGGATTCTACATCTTTGGCAAATAATATAAAATGTGTAATGGAACATTTACGTGAGAAAGAAATGTATAGCTCATTTTCTTGTTTGTTATTTAATTAATATTAAATTTTTCTTTAAAGAAAATGTATGTAGTTAATTATTAATCTTTAACATTTACCAAATTGCTAAGTTACCTAAAATCTATAAAAACTATGCGAACTTAGTTACAAAGTAATATTAGGTGTACAACTTTGCTTTCGCCGTTTTTTTTCCGAAATTCGAGGCTTTATTGTAAAAAACTGGTTATACATTTATGATTCAAAGTATTGTCCATCGCTGGCCACTACTTTCTCCCATCTTTCGGGTAGCGTACGAATCCCGCGTCGAAAAAACTGGTCATCTTTTGAGGCTATCCACGAATCGATCCAATTTTTTACTTCTTCATAAGACCGGAAGTGCTGGTCAGCCAGGCCGTGTGCCATTGATCGAAACAAGTGTAGTTAGAGGGAGCAACGTCTGGAGAAGTCGGCGGGTGGGGTAGGACTTCCCATTTCAACGTTTTCCAAGTATGTCTTGACCACTTTCGCAACATGGGGTCGAGCATTGTCATGCTGCAAAATCACTTTATCGTGTCTCTTGTTGTATTGCGGCCATTTGTCTTTCAATGCTCGGCTCAAACGCATCAATTGCGTTCGATCCCGATCGCCTGTGATTGTTTCAGTCGGTTTTAACATTTTTCATAATACACTACGCCGAGCTGGTCCCACCAAATACAGAGCATGACCTTGGACGTCAAAATCACCGTTCTTGAAACGTTGAAACCACTCACGCCCCGTTCTTTCACTAATAGCGGCCTCATCATAAATATTTGAGAGCATTCGATGAGCCTCAGCCGCAGATTTCTTCATATTGAAGCAAAAAATTAAAACCTCCTGCAAATGACGAGAATTTGGCTCGTAAACTGACATTTTCAATCGAGAATAACTTTATGATGCAGACACAAATCGATTAATGTTTCTATGGGGTTATGTTGACAGATGCCCAAGTTTATTGTATGACGGCTATGATCTATTTATTTCGACCCCTTACCGCTAAAGCCATCTATAGGAAAACGGCGGAAGCAAAGTTGTACACCTAATATAATTTTGAAACAAGTGTATTTGTTTCACTATTTGATAGAAAATTAATATTAATAATTAACATATATAAATAGGTGTACAACTTTGCTTCCGCCGTTTTTTTCCGAAATTCGAGACTTTATTGTAAAAAACTGGTTATACATTTATGATTCAAAGGATTGTCCATCGCTGGCCACTACTTTCTCCCATCTTTCGGGTAGCGTACGAATCCCGCGTCGAAAAAACTGGTCATCTTTTGAGGCTATCCACGAATCGATCCAATTTTTTACTTCTTCATAAGACCGGAAGTGCTGGTCAGCCAGACCGTGTGTCATTGATCGAAACAAGTGATAGTTAGAGGGAGCAACGTCTGGAGAAGTCGGCGGGTGGGGTAGGACTTCCCATTTCAATGTTTTCCAAGTATGTCTTGACCACTTTCGCAACATGGGCTCGAGCATTGTCATGCTGCAAAATCACTTTATCGTGTCTCTTGTTGTATTGCGGCCATTTGTCTTTCAATGCTCGGCTCAAACGCATCAATTGCGTTCGATACCGATCGCCTGTGACTATTTCAGTCGGTTTTAACAGTTCATAATACACTACGCTGAGCTGGTCCCATCAAATACAGAACATGACCTTGGACGTCAAAATCGTCGTTCTTGAAGCGTTGAAACCACTCACGACACGTTCTTTCACTAATAGCGGCCTCACCATAAGTGTTTGAGAGCATTCGATGAGCCTTAGCCGCAGATTTCTTCATATTGAAGCAAAAAATTAAAACCTCCCGCAAATGATGAGAATTTGGCTCGTAAATTAACATTTTCAATCGAGAATAACTTTATGATGCAGACACAAATCGACTAATGTTTCTATGGGGTTATGTTGACAGAGATGCCCAAGTTTATTGTATGACGTCTATGGTTTATTTATTTCGACCACCACTTACCGCTAAAGCCATCTATTGGAAAACGGCGGAAGCAAAGTTGTACACGTAATATATTATAAATATTATTATTTACTTACGTATTTCTTCTGCAGCATGTACTGTCACGAGCATAAAAGCAAAGAGTGTAGCAAACATTTTTTAAAAAATTTTCTTACAGACTGACACACAAAATCACACCAAAATAATCTGAAGGAATATACAACAAAAGTGAATTAAGAGTATATATAAACTGACGTGTAACATATCGAGCTTTTATATATTACAGACTCTCCCTTTTTCAAACGTTCCCTCAATAGTCGTTCTGATTTTTATGGGTAGATATGATTTACATGCGTAGAATGAAAATGTCATTTGCTTTTATGCAGTTTTCTGTATGCATATATTCTGCGCATGAATGCTGTTTGATTAAGCAATTTGAAGTAAAAGAGAAGGAGGAGATAACTAAATTATAATTTTTAATGATTATGTAGTAGCGGAAAAGGGAATAGATAAAACAGCTTGGAGTTAACTTGTATCTTGCTTATCTGATCCATATTTATATATATATTCTTTCATATCGATATTATTATTTAGTTTATACTCGTGAATAAAAAACTAATTAGCAATAACCAATTCTTTTTTACTTTGTAATTATTTGATTTATTCGTTCTAATTTCTTCGATCGTCTTCCAAAACTATTTAAAGCTATATAAACGTACAATTCAATAACATATTTTATTTTTTATTAATAAAGAATAAAAATAAAATTGTTACAAAATAAAAAATGAAATTCTATCTTCAAACAAAAGTTTATTTCAATAATACTAAATAAATTGCTTTGTTCTGCATAAAGAACTAATATTTATTTCAACATTCAATCATATCAAAAACAAAATTATAAGAATAGGAATTTATTTTTACTTAAAAAAATATATAATATAATTTGTGTTTTAACTTCAAATTCAAATTCAAATTTTTTAATGTTATTTATGAAATATTAACATTATTTAATCGAGCGATCGTGTTAAATAAAATTGTTCTTCCTTTTTTTATTAGGATTTTGAAATCATATTGCAACAAAATAATACTTATGTAAAAGAAATATAATTACAAACTTCATTTTCTCTATATCTTCTATATACATACATATATATGTAATACTATATATTATACATTTTATATATATATATACGTGCTATTTGTAGTTCATATGTTTGTCGAATGAATATTGTTATAAATAAAGTTATCATTAAGAATATTTTACCAACATATTCTAAAATTGATAATGAAAAAACTAAATTGTTGATAATATTGATATTTAGAGTTAGGCAAATTATTTGAAAAAAATTATAAGGATTGTTTACTGTATGAAACATAAACTGTATTGACAGCGTCGTGAATATGGAAATTTGATATGGGATATGGGGATTTGATATGGGAAATTCGCGGAGTTATTTTGTTGCATAATAATGCAAAATCTCATATGACGCATTCTTATTCTATTTAAAATAATCATAAATAGCAAAATTTCATAAATTATTTCTAAGTCGTATTAATATCTTAAAATATTACTTAAAACGATCTAGAAATAAGAACTATAAATAATATAGGAGAGATAGATGTTTATATATATTAGGAATAAATAGTTCATAAACAGTGCGCGTTATTCCGAAACATTCGCACCAGTATTACATATATTAAAGGCACAATGAGAGTGGGGATAACAATAGGCGTGCTTGTCGCTAATTAAAAGTTATATATAGACAGAGAGATTAAGGTTAAGACAACATTTCAACCAGAACTTACTCACCATTACTCAAAATGTATTTGCAAAAAACAAAGCGGAACTGCATGGTCGAGTCGCATTGCATCATGAATATAATGATAGAAAAATATCTTAAACATTTTTACATGTTAAATTAGATTATGTCCAAAATAGAAGATTGCTTAGAGAACGATCAGTAAATACTGAAATACCGATTACTACAGTAATATTCAAGGAATCTACCGCGTCTCACAGAAAGTCGAGAAATTTAAAAAAGTTCTGTGTTCTCAGTAGTTATTAGAATAAAGTTATAAAATAATAAAAATACAACATTTCCGAAGTCAATTTTAGCGAAAAATCTCAGATATTAGAAAGAGAAATTGTGTTATTTAATTGTTGTTTAATTGTTGTTGTCATTAATGTTTAATTTTCTTATTTACAAGATATTTCAAAACTGAAGATCAATCATTCGGCAGATAATTAAGGACTAAAAATAACAAAAAAAGTTAATATAAATATAAGTTCATTTTATAGAGTCCTACTTTCTTCCACGAGAGACTAAGCGAGTTATATCTTGGACTATATCTTCACGTGATAATATTGCAGTAACATTACAAAATTGCTGTAATATTATTAGGTGTACAACTTTGCTTCCGCCGTTTTTTTTCCGAAATTCGAAGCTTTATTGTAAAAAACTGGTTATACATTTATGATTCAAAGTATTGTCCATCGCTGACCACTACTTTCTCCCATCTTTCGGGTAGCGTACGAATCCCGCGTCGAAAAAACTGGTCATCTTTTGAGGCTATCCACGAATCGATCCAATTTTTTACTTCTTCATAAGACCGGAAGTGCTGGTCAGCCAGACCGTGTGTCATTGATCGAAACAAGTGATAGTCAGAGGGAGCAACGTCTGGAGAAGACGGCGGGTGGGGTAGGACTTCCCATTTCAACGTTTTCCAAGTATGTCTTGACCACTTTCGCAACA